TAACTTTTTTTAGAACTGAAAGCTATCCTTCCTTAGAGTATAAAATTTAAAGAAGGCGTAATTGGCTATCAAACATGTACAAGAAATAATTTTTTCGTTCATTTTTTCCATAAAATATATTTGAATTTATAAAGGCAGTCAAAATCAAGCATAAAACGGCATACTACTGAAGTAGTCAGTTTTTACAATAGATACGTTTTGCTAGGAGTCGAAACGAGGCTCGTTAAAAATCCGGCTTCCCATCCTGACTGAAATGACTTCAGAATATACTACATGATAATTATTTCCTATCCTGACTGAAATAACTTCAGAATACACTACACAATAATCAGTATCATTCCAATCCTGACTGAAATGACTTCAGAATACACTACATGTTAATCATTCTCAGAACTTCACCGACTGAAATGACTTCAGAATAGACTACACGATAATCAGTATCACAACTGGAGTTTTGCTAGTGGTCGGAACGAAGCTCGTTAAAAAGCCGGCATCCTATCCTGGGGAATGACTTCAGAATAGACTAGACGATGATCAGTATCGCAACTGGAGTCAATTCCGATTAGCGAAAGAGTATTAGTCTTTCGCATATGTCGATATATTGCCTGATCAACGGCGTCTACTGTACCTCACTCGCAGGATGATGCTCAGAGAACGGTTGTGAAAGACCTCCAATGTGACTTTAGGGGGGAAAGCACATAAACAAGTTGTAGACTGAGCGGAGACAAGAAAGATGGCTTTTCGCAGACACTAACCCTGTAGCTGCATAGACGAAATAGTCAGCAGATGGCCTGGCGTCTTCAAGTCTTTGCAGGCCTTCCTCGCTTCGTGCCAGGGTTTCGCATCCTCTTGCCGGAGGAAGAACTAAAGGGAGTAGAACGATAATTGGTTAAACGGCTTCTACAGACAATTGTGCAAGAAAGGTTACAAAGTAATGAGTAATAGTCGAGAGGAGGGAGGAGGGCAGGTGGTAGCAACTTAGGATAATAAATCGAGTTATAAAACAGGAGAATGTACTGTTGTGAAGAGCCCAGCTGGGGTTCAAATCCGGCATTCTGCAAGCCTTTGGTTAGGGAACAACTAGCTGACGGCACTCAGTAGACCGGAAACGGTAATTCCAGTCTGCCTTGGCTTTTTCGGTGACACCTCTGTCGTATGTACTGCTAATCATGACATCCGTATCTGGTAATGATTTGCGGTTCTTTCCCTACCGCAAAACTGGCCGACAGATGCGAACAGACTTCGCTATTCCCGCTTGAGCACGGTGATTGGAAAGTACCAGCTTCTATCAAGCCCTGCTCTGGCAGCCCAGAGTTGCGGGCTGGAAATATGATTGGTCGTCTGTACACAGTGTGCAGGAGCAACAGCCTTACTGCACCGACCCCGCCAATCACAAAAAGGGACTGTTGGGGGGTGGATTGTTTTTGCACGAACTACTGATGGGATTCATTCAATCAGCAGCAGATCAACTGTAAGAGGAAGCCTAAATGAATGTTATGTGAGTGCGAACGTCTGGCAAGTAGGCTATGGCCTACTTGGAGGTGATCTACGCTACGTTGCGGTGAACCAGGGGGCCGGAAATCGGGCCTGAAAGCCGCCTGGGACAAAAAAACGAAACTATCTTGGTATAGAAAAAGCGGTCAACTTAGGAACACGTACAGCCAGACACCGACGGTTAAGCAGAAAGTAGCCTTCGGGGCAGACGAGGGTCTGGAAGAGCGGTAGAAACGGACTCTCTGGTTGTCTATTGCTCGTCACATTCCCACAAATGAACGGATGCTTCTCGTTACAGTCTCGCGGTTCCCAAGAGCCATCACCTAGGAAGTGAAATGAGGTGGAGACTGTGTTAAGTTTCGAAATAAAATGCAACATGAGCCTAGGCGTCAAGCGCTCAAATTGAGAATTAAGGGCATGAAAGACAACTGAAAGTGTTCGCAGTGAATACAAGGACCATAAAAACGGGATCGCGATTCTAGGCGCACTGATCTTTTGTGACTAATCGTACTATCACGCGTAGGAGGAAGGGAGGAGGAGTAAGGCCAATTCCGGTTTACCGTATTCTGTCGAAATTCACGGACTTACGTTTATCGAGACCCCCACCCCTCCGCCAAATTTTGAACGGATCACGTAACAAGGCTTTATAAATACCTACCCGCATAGGTTACACAGCAAACATGTCCTCTAAACGCTTCGACTTCCCTTAGAAATGATGTTACCGGCTAAATCATCCTGGAAATTTGCGCTGATCAAAACAAACATATAGGGTAGTGTATTACAAAGTGCATACTGCAGGTACATGTCGAGCTACTGTTCACCACCTACCCACTTCTTCTCCGAGTTGCCGAACGCTTGTGAGCGATTTTCGGTGACTGCTCTGAGACCATTTTGCTTGCTTACAATGGGGTATTGTATGGTAAAATCTGAGTGCAATATCTCGCTCTCAGGCAGCTGTGTACCGTAGATACATTTCAAATCAATTAAACATTCAGTTTATGAAGAGTACGGTGTTGTACAGCAGAGAGAGTGAAAAAAATATACAATATACTATAGTAGAGTATTCAAGTTACATTATTAGAAATATCATACAGGTAGTAGTCTCGATAGGCGGATGTTGCGAAGATAAGCGAAGCAAATGGCGCATGAACTCTGTCTGTATTTCACAATACGCGGTAGTAACATATATACAGTTGGATTTGAAAATGTTCTTTGAGATAAAAAGTAACTTTAATGAGTGCATTTTCGTGTTTGGCGCCCCAACTTGTCTTCGGACTAACAGGAAAAGTGCAATGAACAGCTAAAATTTCAAAACTGC